AATTGATAAAATAAAATAACACAATAATATTCTCACGACGTTTCGGCCACAACACAGACTGTAGACAGTCTCGTCCCTGTAGACAGTCTCGTCCCTTCACCTGATGAAGGCCGCTTGTGTTGTGGCCGAAACGTCGTGAGAATATTATTGTGTTATTTTATTTTATCAATTTCTTATTTTATTCTCATTCTACGTGACTTTACCGAAAGAACCAAAGAAGATTTACCGAAAGGCCCAAAGGACACAAAGTCTACCAGACAGTCTCGTCCCTTCACCTGATGAAGGCCGCTTGTGTTGTGGCCGAAACGTCGTGAGAATATTATTGTGTTATTTTATTTTATCAATTTATTATTTTATTCTCATTCTATGTGACTTTACCGAAAGAACCAAAGAAGATTTACCGAAAGGCCTAAAGGACACAAAGTGTAATATAACCACGGAAACACAACTTCCTACTTCGTGATATTTCTTAATTAGTGTTAGCCACAACTCACAAAAACAATAAAAAATAACCGGCCGACTACTTAAGTGAGAGTAGGTGTGTGTGTGTGAACGCTTAACCCAAGATGTATTTTAGAAACACAACGATCCATCGCGGCAGCTATCCTTTTTTGAATCTACAATTAAACTGCTTGTCACGTAAAACCGCTGCTCACCCTCTTCCCTCCAAACTCAAACCCCTCCACATCCTAGCAGCGCGCCTCTCTGCTGTTCTCCAACCCTACTCATGGATAACCCCTACAATCATCTCCCCCGCACTCCCTTATTGCACCCCCCTCTCCCCCTGCATCACCACCCAATCAACCCTCCGCAGGTACCCACGCATTCCCAGCAGCCACCCTGTTCCAGACAAACAATAGCAATCGCTAATTCACACCCCCCCCCTGCCCACCTTCCCTTTGCAGGTCACCATACACAGCACGACTCGGTGCCAAGAGCGTGGCTGTTTTCATGCGCATCAAGTGGGACACACACGAGGACACACACACACACACGAGGACACACACACACACACGAGGACACACACACACACACGAGGACACACACACACACGAGGACACACACACACACGAGGACACACACACACACGAGGACACACACACACACGAGGACACACACACACACACACGAGGACACACACACACACGGACACACACACACGAGGACACACACACACAAGGACACACACACAAGGACACACACAGCAACCTCCACATCCCGCGAAGGCAATTAACCAGGACTTGGGGGAAGAGGCGTCGTCGCACACAGCATTCGCTACGACGTTTGGGATGATTCACAATACATGTTGCGGAGGTGGAGTGGTGGGCGGGTGGACCGGTTGGCGACCTGCACGATAAACGCAGCATCCAGAGTTGGATTCCCAGCCACAGCGAACATCAAGGGTGAGTGGTATCTGAACCAATTCTGGGCCCTCATTCGCCAACTCGCACTGGCCTGCATGATTCCGTATGGTTAAACAACTCTCCATTACTCGTATGGTGTGGCAAGCCCTTCGTCTTGTCGGTAGGGTGACGAAAGGCTGTAAAATAATGTTTGCATTACTAATAGACAAAGGTAATACCAATTTCAAAAGCACACGACACTATGTTTGGGGATTCATTGTTATTTAAATGTCCATTGTGGAAGCTAGCGTGGAGAGGCAGGTGACACAGAGAAATCACCCCATTATAGTAAACGCGAGATTGTGATCTCACGCAGGAGATGTGTGTGTGTGTGGGACTTGGGGTTAGTTGATGGCCTCCAACAGAATAGTTTTATAGCCGACTGAAGATTTTAAATTAAACCACATCAAAAGGGCGCAGTGCAGATGCCAAAACCTGTAAATAATTTTGCACTTTACGGCATCCGAACGATAACCATGCATGTTGTAAAAGAAGGAAGCAATCGTGTTGTGCCCGATAATTCATTTCCCACCCTCTTGCACACTCCACTCCCAATTCCATTATTCCGATGATAGATTTTTTTCCCCACCCTTGATTTGCATTTATTAAATCCATTTTGAACAGCGATTACTCAAACGCGCAACTTGCACGATTTAATATTTCTGCAATACTGGGGGTGGGGGGGGGACACTTGTAGTGCATGCGTGGGTTGAAGCATTTAGCGTGAATTTAGTAACAGCTCGTAAATTCCACCCATATCAATCCTCAAAACGAAATCCACGAAGATCCCAACAACAGTACGAGAGCTTTTAAACGTATTATGCTGATGCAGAAGAGCCACCCGCCCACTTTTAAGCCCAAAATAGTTCGGCAGTGAACTCCAGCTTCGGTTAAGCGTTCTTTGCTTGGCAGCAAACATCGCCAGGCTTCATTAAGAAGGCGTGGTGCGTCATGGTGCTGAGTAAAAGTCTGCCGATGGCTTTGTTCAGTCTAAATAACATGTACGAGTACTAAACGAGATGCTCTTAATGTACCTTTTTAGAACTTAAAAAAAAGAAATAAAATACTGAAACTATTTTTTATTTTAACAGGGAAGGCCCACTGAGCTCTATCGGTCTTTTTCAGAAGCGACCTGACCATCACAAATGATAGCTCAACAAAGTGGCTTTACCATGAGGATATTTCTAGCAGCCAAATATTATAAATGCACGATGCTAAATGTCGAGGGGAAATCCGGAGGACCCGAAGAAAAATCCAAACGACCACGGGGAGGAGAGAACACGCAAAGTCCAAATATACAGCAGCAGGCGTCAGGGTCGGGATCGAACCCACGACCTCCTGTATACCAGGCGAGGTAGTTAACATCTCGCCACTGGTAAAAGCGCAATTCCCAGAAGGAACAACCTGCTCTTACACAATTCACCCTGCCGGCTCGCACTCGCTAATTATAAAGTTATTTGGAAAAAAAATAATGATGCTCAGTGCAATTTTTATAAACCGCCACTCAAGCACGGGGAATCTTTAAAGCCCTAAGGACGTCGTTGATAGTGTCAACACTGCAACCTGCAAAGGTTGTCACCGAGTACAACACTTGGGGCAAAATGGGACCACAATGAGGCTTGTGAGTGACAGGTCAGAACAGACCAAATCTCTGCTACAGAGGTGTTATTTCCGCCCTTAACATCAATCAAATATTTTGTTTGCTATTGATCAATAATATTTCCAATGCTTTATTTTAGTTGGTTCTTCGCATTAAAAAAAACAGTGTACACTATTAAAATGTACAATGTTAATAATGTCTTATTCTCATCAATCAAAGTAATATTCTATAAAACACGTTTGTCAATATAAATATAATTACTTCGCAACTCTTATTTGAATGCGCCAAACCTCGCTGAGGCGTCATGACGTTTAGTGCGTATTCTGACACTTGCTCAAACATTCATAGTTTTTTTTTTATAGACGTTAAGGTTGCACTCGGTATACACACAAGGTGCTTGCCACAAATGAACCACAATACCTTGCTGATCTCGTCAAGGAGCATGAACCATCACGCGAACTCCGGCCATTCTCGCAGTGGCTTTACGCGCTTTCAGATGCGCTTCTGCGGCTATCTGGAACGCTCCTTCCTTCCCATATTAGGAGGCCACCGGAGCTATGCACTTTTAAATCTAGATTGAAAACTCATTTGATCATAACTGCTTTTTGTTTCGTTTGCTGTCCTTCCCCCACGCACTCCGATTAGCACGGTTGGCTACGTACAGTGCGAAAAAAGTTCAATATGCATAAATAAATACATAACAGAGGCAACAGTGCCACCCTGTGGTGACCACGGTGAAGAGGCATCAATGATCATTCCTGCCTCATCCTCCCTCGCCCTCTCCGAGCCTCGCGTTCATCTCGACACACTTTTTTTAACACCGAGGAAATGGCCGTGTAGGGAACCCACCCTCTGCCCCTACGTGCTCTCCCTTAGCATGTGCCTATCACCATCTCCTTATGCACGTCCTATCACGTCAAGATCCTTACGATGCCCAGCAGGCAAAGAAATGCCTCCTGGGAAGAAGGGGCCCACGGGTGATGAAGGGGGACTGGCTTCTTGACATCCAATGACCGTGACCCCGCAGGGAGCACTTTTAACCCCTGGACTTGAGAGAGAGAGAAAAAAGAAATCTCCTGCCCCAGACTTGTGTTGGTGAAATCGAATCCACGATCCCATTACAGATGGGAGTAACAACAAATAGATTTGACTTGGACATTTCACCGTGAATAACAAAATGTTAAAATGACCGTCTGTTTCCATCTAGAATGGAATTCAAGGGCCACTCGGCAAAGCTTTCGCTCTAAATAAATACACGAGCATTGATAATACAGTAAGCACCCGAACTTTAAAGTGAAGCCTTTAAAAGTATTTTTAAATGCTTTTTTAAAGTCTTCACTTTCAAAAAATGTCCTGTTCTCATGTTTGTTTTTGATAAGTAATCATTTGTTTACATTCAACAGGCCCAGCCAATACTCTTGTTTAATCACGTGGGAATGCGTTTTGATAACTTTTCTAGTGTGTCAAGCGGGAACATTTGTTTTATATCAAATTTCCAGATGCTTGCTGCATATTGCAAAGGAGTACACTGGCGATGTCAATACATTCACAATATACTCACTGTGACACACACATCGAAGAAGACAAAGTAAACACTTAAACATGTATTAGCTAAAGCACTTTCCCTCCCAACAACAATAGTCAAATGTGTTATGACAAACACTATGCAAATCTTGACGAATAAATAGCCGAACGTGTTGAACGGATCGTGTTAATATTTCGTGGAATTTGAGCTCTTGAATATCCATTTCACCAAAACCTTCCAGCGCATAACGTTCTAAGAACAAATAATACAATGATGACACAATGACCTTAGACCTAGAAAAACAGGCAGCAGATGCTCAGCGTTGTATTAAAACGAAATTAAAAATGTAAAATCTAAGGTTCATAATAAAAACACAAACTTATCATTCATATAGTTGTGCATTCCAAGTAAGCAATTATCACAACATAATTTGCTCACTAAAATATACTCCCACACGTGCATCCAGTCTCACCTGCACGTATTTTGTCTGGTGTTCCAGATTTGAGTCTTCATCTCGGCCTCGCACGTCTTGCTCAACTGCCTCGTGCTCTGGTTCCTGCCGAGCTGCATGCTTCAAGCCTCCGAGAAGAGATGGGAAATCGTCGCAAGGAATCGGCTGGGGAACAAGCGCCGCTCGTTCGCTTTTTAGGACACTCGTCCCAAAGCTGGACTCGCTGAAACTAAGCGGAATCTGCGACGTGCAGCTCACCGTGCTGCTCTTCTCCGTGGCCTCCTCCGTGACCACGGTGCTGGGCTGCTCATAGTCAAACGTGGCCACTGGACAAACCGCAAGGTGGGGTTGACGCGTGTCGTGGAAATCGCTTGCAGCGTTGCTGGCAATCTGTTCATTTGCTGTGTGCTCCTCTGGGGCCACCTGCTCAGCTGTGCCTGGTTCTACGATTTCCCTGTGGTCTACCACCTGTGGCTGGAACACACCTGGCAACTGCTTTACGCTAATCTCCGACTCCTCCAACCTGTGCCAGCCCAGCTCTGCACTTGGCACCTCCTGCACGCTTGGCGGCTGGCGCAGATTAGAGAGGTCTGCTTTTATTTGATCGTGCTCCACATTTATAATCCCTGGAAACCTGATTCTTGGTTCTGCTAACTGCTCTGGGACGGCCTGCTGTTCCAAAACCTTTGTTGTCGCTTTCTGCTCAGCTTCCTTCTTTTTTTCTGGCTCCTCGTGCAGAGCCTCCCGAGCCAATGGACTTTTGGGCTTGGTTGCAGAAGACTTTTGCCTGCCAATGAGCAATCTACAAGAAATAAACAAAAAAGCAATTTCACTTGGAGGTCAAATGGCACTTCATCGGTGTTTTAAAACATACGTGCCATTTTATGGTTTGATGGCATTCACGCAATTTTAAGGTCGTGAAAAACTGAAGAGTTTTTTTTAAAAGTACGGTCACTTCCAAGACGAAGACACGTACAAGGTAAAAGGTGCAGCCCTGCAATTGCTCACTCACACCGCTGCTGGCGGAAGTGTCGCCACTAGAGCATGCTCTAGACTAAACTATTCAACTATAAACTAAACTAGTTTTATTTTGCTAGGTAAGGCCCACTGAGCTATACAGCGCTTTTTCAGAAGCGACCTGGCCACAAATGATAGCTTAACGAAGTGGCTCATCATGTTAAAATTGACAGCAGTAACCAAATACCCGCAACGCACGTTGATTCTAAATGTGCAGGGAGAAACTGGAGGAACCAGAGAAAAATATACACAACCGCGGGGGAAATATGCAAACTCCAAATATGGAACAGCCAACCTCCTGTATACCCGGCGAGGAAGTTAACATCTCCTCCCAACCATGCTGGCCAGACAACTGGGAAGAAGTTGGAGTACCCACACTTTACTCCACCACACGTGACTTGCCAAACAACGAGCTATGCTGCTGTACCCATTTACACAGCTGGGTCGACACAGGTGGGGGGATGTAACAAACGTGCCCCCATTGTTTCGACGCCAGGAGACGCACATCGGACTGGTAACCTCCGTGTTGCAAGTTCGGGTGCGCTAACCGATACACACCCAAGGGGGCAGCATCCCCCATGGTACCGTGTTAAAAAACCCACAGGTCAAACGTTTTGGCAACAGCGTTTTGGTTACGGGAGAGAGTATAGCTCAGGTGCAGGGAAGAGAGAGAGAGAGTGAGAGCGTGCGCGCTCCGCTATCTCATGCGAGAGCCGTGCCTTGCGATCACCTCCCAGAGCACGGGCACGCCACTTTGCCAAATGACGTCAGACAGGGGCCGAGGCTTGGGAACGAACTCATTGCCAGTTTATTCTGCACCCCCCCTCCCCCACCCCACTCTTGATTGAGCCCTCGCACTGGAAAGGTGCTGGCAAGAGCCCCGGCTTTTATTCAACCGCTTGATTAATATGTGCGCGTGCGTCTCGCGGAGAGAGCGTGCCCCGTGGCTCCTGAGCAAACAGGCCCAGCTGGAGTTAATGCGTCTGGCAGCGGGCACTAAAGGCCCGGCGCAGAACCCCCGAGCCCATTCAGGCGACCAACATAAGCCGAACTTTAAAAGCTTTTCACGGGACGAGTGATGGATGTTTTGTCAGGATTCCAATAAGCGCGGGAGATCTTTGTAAAACCCAGGATGCGAAAATGGGCACGTCTCTTTCACCGATGGGAGCTTTATTTTGCGCAGAATCGCTAAGCACATTCGACCGTTGGCGTCTTACTTTGTAAGCATCTTAAATAGTTTCTACTTAATATGACGTAAAGCATTTGCGCAATTAACATGGCATTGAACCTAAAGCGATGCTACATAACGCAGCCGTGATATCCAAGAGCATTGTGGAATATCACACTTAATACGTAACCATGAAAAAGCGTTACAGGGACAGCCAGAAAAAAAATCCAGGGGATTCAGACAGCCGCTCCATCGGCCCCAAGTTCCTGCCCACGCCGAGTGGCAGGGTATCCCCCCCCCCCTTCTTCTTACTTGACACGGCCGATGGTGTTCTTGAGCAAGGTGCCTGCAAACTCCTCCGAGATGCCCACCAGGCTCACGCCATCCACCTCCAGCACCTGGTCACCGACGTCAATCCTGGACAAGAGAGACGGCACCACGCTGGCAGGTCGGGAAAACCACTCGGGGGTGTGCGGCGACGCCCGGCCTGCAACACCGAACCTCCGACAGAGAACCGTCGATGAAGCAAGAGTTCATGATTCACCTGTACTGCCCCACCCATTACGGGGAAAAACAGCCAAAGCACATCGCCTTGGCGATCTGCCTAAGTTGTGGTCCCTCTGGATGAGGCCGCGGGTTGAGCGTTTATCCTCGCAGGCTTTTGCCGCGCATGGCCTGCGGTTGTCTTTGGGAGCTGGCAAGCCTGCGGGTGAAAGCTCAGGAGGAGAATTTCCCAACCTAACGGAGGGAACAATCTCTAAACGCGCGATTCGGACCTGCGCGCTTTAAAAAAAAAGGGAAGCTCCTATCTCGGCCCAATGCCAGGGATGGGCGGTGACATTCGCCGTCAATTATCCGGAGCTCCACGAACCAAGGTGATTCAACAGACCTCGGTTTCGACCACCGCTGCGATATCCAACAGCAAATCCCTTTAAATATCGGAAAATGCGTTGTTCCTTATTTTTTTTTATAAAAAGCGCGCTCGTGAAAATGAGGCAAGCGGAAGGATTTATTGGGGGGGGGGGGGTCAAAAGGCAGCACCACCAGGGCCTTTAGCCCGGGGACCCCGAGTAATCCCGGGTTGAAGGCCGAGGAGCAGGCAAAGTAAAAACAGCAGTCGGGGTTTTTTTGTGTGTGCGGCAAGCGTTTGATGATTACAATCGCAGCGAAAAAAACGAAATCGCCACAAAGACTTTTCACAAGCATGGCCGTGGTCTCAGCCAGACTTTGATGGGCGTGGAGAGAGTGAAAAGGGGGGAGAGGAGGAATGTTCTTTTGCGATGTACGGCGGTGTAAGCATATGATTCAGTAACGTGTACCTTTTGAAAAGAGATAAGAAACAAACTCTGGATTCCCCACTGTGAACACTGGAGGCAACAATGCACACAGGAGGTCACGTAATGTCAATTGTTTATCCTGAAAAGCCTCGGCGATTCTTCAAGGTTTTTCACTCGGGCCATACATAGGGTTGTTTGGGCTGGTCCCCTTTTAAGAAGCGTTTTGTGTGGTGGCAGAACACCCAATGTTTCTGGAGAAAATCGACGCATTGAGACGGGTTTTATGAACCCACTTGCTGTGCTGCCATCTTGCAGCCCGGCTGGTGCGAGGGCTTCGCAGATCTTTACGCGATCCATCAACGCGCATATTCACCACCGTGCCCAGGTGGAAGTTGCGTTGCATTTTATTTTACCAGGTAAGGCCCACTGAGCTGTAGAGCTCTTTTTTTCAGAAGCGACCTGGCCATCCCAAGTGACAGCTCAACGAAGTGGTTTTATCAAGGGAAATTTATATCGGTCAAATACACTAACACGCGTGTTTCTAAATGAGGGAATACCCGGAGGACCCGCAGAAAAAGCCACGTGACCACGGGGAGAACATGCAAACTCCATATACATAGGCACAAGGGTCGGGATCGAACACACGACCTCCTGTATACCAGGCGAGGTCGTTCGTGGTGAAGCAGACGTGATGAGCATCGCTTCTGCTTCACCCAAAAGAAACGCTCAAAGTGTTTGATATGTTTTGCCGGTTAATATGCCCCACCTTTTAACAGTGCCTAAACCAAAATAAAAAAAAACACCTCCCCCCTCACCTGCCGTCCACCTTGGCAGCTCCTCCGTCCAGCAGAGCCGCCACGTGGATATTCTGCTCTTCGGGGTTGGGGCCTCTCCCCAGGATGCCGATTCCAAGACCTTTGGGGCCTGCGGGCACATGGGACATGACCGGTGGAAACCAGGGTCGGCCCTTCGTGAGTGGTGTGTTGAAGACGGAATGTGGCCATAACAATGTAATATCTTTCCCATGGGAATGCCTGTATGACTAAGGTTCTTCTAACTAAACATTGTTCTTCAGAGACTTGTTAAGACCACTCAAGATTTGCTGGTAGATTGGTAAAAAAAAAAAGACCATAATCCAAGCGAATGAACATATTAGATTTTTTTTTTACACTGAACTCAGCCATGCACATTTTCAATCACTCCGTTATACCTGAGCCACCTTTATCCAATAAACTACTCCTCAACTCTGTCATTTGTTAGGTTACTCAACCGCGCCGCAACGTGACACTGTTATAACACGCCTCAGGTATGCCGCCTTAACAAACATCAACACTGAACGTTTCAGAATGTTCCCGAGCAGCGAATGTTACGCATGAAGGCTGTCAAAGTTAATATTCGTTTAAATAAAGGGTTTTCTTTGTTTGTTTCCAAATTCAATCGTTAATACATTTTTAAACACGCATTCGTCCAACGAGTATTATTCATAAATCACAACGCATAATGTGCCATGTCCACATGTGACCAATAAAACATCTTGCTGAACGCCGAACTCTGCCAGTGGAGGGCGCAAGCCAGAAGTTTAAAGAGATGGGCCGCTTGCGTGTTTGTGTGTGCAGAGGGGAGCGGTGGTGTAGCGGTTATCGTGCTGCGCGTTGAACCCGGCGACCCGAGTTTGATTCACGCTCACGGCCAGCACCAGTGACGATTATTTGAACCGGTCCTAGGCCTTCCCTAGGTCTACTCGGCCTCAAATGAGTACCTGGTGTGCGGTGTGTAAAACATCGCCACGAGGGAGACAAATGCGTCCGGGCGCGGTGTTGGCCATCCACCCCCTCGTGTGCTGTGCCGGCCTTCATAGGCGCTACTCGCTAACAGCACTTGCCCCAACAGTCTGTTCAGGCTACACGGGGTCTTTGTTTGTTGTGTGCAGAGGAGGCAACGTGTTATCGGTGACCCAGTTGTGAGCCCACAGAGATAAGCAATCGGCGCCTGCTTCACCCGAAAGAAACTGCAAGTGCTCAAACTGTTTGGCCAATAACACACGAACTCTACACACGTGCGGGGGGCAGTTGCTGTGGATTTGGAACAATGCAAAGCAGAATAATGTAATGCAGAGCACCGAGCTTGTGGTGTATCAACCGGCTGTGATTCAACCGGGTTCTCAGCTGTGGGGGTGAATTGATGGTCTCAGCCTGGTCACCACTGACTGGGGCCTGCGCTGTTAGCGAGCACCGGCTAAGGCCAGCACCAGGGCTGGCATTCATACAAAATATGAGATCATCATTTAAGGTTGAGTTGACCTAGGACTCCCACAGGACAGTCAGATGCAACTTGCCACCCATTTATTCCGTGTCTGGGAATTCAACTAAGGTCCACTGGGTTAGTAAAGCAGCGCTCTAACCATTTGTATGTCCCGAGAGATGATGTTTACAAACTGCACCAGGTATTCGATTAAGGTTGAGTTGACCTAGAGGAAGCCCAGGCCCGGTTCAGATAATTTGCGCTGACGGCAGTCGAGGCGGGGGAATTAGACTCGGGTCGTCACGATGATAGCCGCTACACTGTTACAAAGATAAAGATCCCCCGCATAGCCTTGAACAAACTGTGGGGGCAAAGTGCTGTTGGCGAGTGGCACCTATGAAGGCCGGCACGGCATACAAGGGGGGGGGGGGGGGGGTGGGTGGCCAGCACCAAGCCTGGCCACCTTTGTCTCCCAAGCGGTGATGTTTACACACCACACCAGGTACTGATTTGGGGCCGAGTCGACCTAGGGGGAGGCCCCGTTCAGATAATCGTCACTGGCGTTGGCCGTGAGAGGGGCTTCAAATTCGGGTCGCCGGGCTCATAGCGCAGCGCGCTAACCACCACACAACCGCTCACTCGCGTAGAGACAACAAACCAACGCCGACACGCCGCACTAACATGGGCCACGAGTGGCGCGTTACTTCCCGAGATGCCGAGTGACCTGCTCCTGCTCCTCCTCCTCGTGCGCGCGCGGTCACTGCCCCCCACCGCACCGCACCGCGTCGCGCCGACGCCGGTCGAGCGCGCGCAGCGGCGGCACCGCCGCGACCGCCGGACAGCTCCGGCCGCGCACAACGAGGGGGAGAGTCGGACGGGGTAATTGCACTTAATGACGCGCCGACAAACAAGCGGGGGCGAGGGGGCGAGCGGGCGTCATCCGCCGCTAAAGCTGCCGCGCCCTGTGTTGGGGTGACGGCAAGGAGAAGGCGGGTGTTGGTTTTTTTTGTTTTCCTGGACGCGCAATCACTCCCGAGGTCTCGTATTCACGAGAACGACTGCGCGTACCAGCACGGCGTTGACTCGTAGGCGCGGATACATCTAGGCCAAAATACTTCAAGGGACGTACGAGCGCCGTAGCAATTAAGTGTGCGCGTCACGTCATGTCCTGCGTGTGTCAGCACTGGCAGTGAATGTCACATTCGTAGTGTGCCATGCTACTAACCCAGCCACCCGAGTTCAATTCCCGCTCACGGCCAACACCAGTGACGGTTATCTGAACCGGTCATGGGTTCTCCTAGGTCGACTCGGCCTCAGACTACTATTGAAACTATTTTTTATTTTACCAGGTAAGGCCCACTTGATCTATATAGCTCTTTTTCAGAAGCGACCTGGTCACAAATGATAGCTCCACAAAGTGGCTTATTATTATTATGCGAAAATGTAAAGCAGCCAAATACTCGAAACGCACGTTTCTAAATGTGGAGAGAAACACCGGGGGACCCGGAGAAAAATCCACGCGACCACAGGGAGAACATGCAAACTCAAAATATACAGCAGGCGTCAGGGCGTGGTGCTGGCCACCCACCCCCTCGTGTACCGTGCCAATCTTTATAGGTGCTCAACAGCACTTGCCCTAAAAGTCTGTTTAGGCCATACAGGGTTTTTATCTATATACATCACGTAGCAATGATTAATTATAGCTCTTTGGTTAGTAAATATTAGATGCAACCCAAAGAATAAACAGCTGTTATCTTTTAGATAAGTACCTTGGCTGTGTTTTCTGGGTTGCCATTAATGAGGCTTCAACTTGTTGGGAAATGCACCATTAAGGCCCCTTCGAGATGTCATCCTGACTTCACTGCCATACATTTATATACATTAATGCAGTGCATTAGAGCGCACTATGCTGGAACAATTGACGGAGACTTCAAAACTGTATTTTCTCATGAAGTGCATACATAACGGCCCAAATATACACAGAGCGTAGACACGCATCAAAAACACAGCGTAAGTCGGGAATTGAACCCAGCGGCCCGTATTAACGCTGTGCCACTCTGTCTAACGGGGGGGGGGGTCACTATAACGCCAATGTAAATGACATTTTTGTATAAAGTTGTGTTTCTGTTCGAAACTTAACCTGTAGAAAACAATGCAAATTGACCAATGGGTGGCCTGAAACTTGGCGATAAAAAACCAGCGTGATATGGATGAACCTTTTTAGCAAAGGCAATGACATCGATGGAAAGTGGTGCAGAATCCATGCACATGCAAGATGTTTCTTCCGGGTTTGGATCCGTCTGCCTCTGACGAGAGAAGATTTCCGTACGCAACGCAACACCACGACACGAGACGGGGGCCCGATCGTCAGCAGCCATAGAGGCTGCCCCTCTGATGACACCCAAACAGTCACCCTCAACCGCCCGTCGTTCCGGCACGGAGGTACGAAGGAGGTTGGGGGTGGGGGGGGCGGAGGACGTCGCTTCCCTCCCAGTGGGCCCCCCCACGGGACAGGTGGCATGGCCACGCAAACAGAGCGGCCATGCCACCACATGTCCGCTTGGGTACACTTGCTGAACGCTCACGTACGTTGCCATGCAGGAGCCCTGCTCGCGAGGGCGGGGGGGGCATGTTCCAAAATAAATAAAAGTAGCTAAAATTACCCTGAACGCCGAAAACCCCAGACAGAAGAAATGTAAGGTGAGAGTAAATGGTAGCTCCTTGGCTCCAGAGTTGATGGACGAGCAGTCGTATTTAACCGTACGCGAGGAGAGAGATGAAGAGATGACGACCGCCGCCGACGATTCCATGATTACGACCCAAAACTGGAGCGTTCACTGCAACTGAGAGAGAGAGCGCTGGTCAATTCAAGCGTCGTGCGAACGGTCCGTTTTACCCGCCGGACGAGGAAGCCAATTTTTAAACAAGCGTTTCATTGCGCCACTCGTGCACAAAGCCACTGGTAAAAGAGCTGTCAGAGAAATATGCCATGAGCAAGACGGATCTGCGCTGCTCAGTTTCAGCTGCAAATCCAACGAAGAACTGTGGGGAAGCTCGATTCTCCCCAGAAGATGACCTTGTCTGACCTCTTGTTGAGGTGAAGCATTCAAGACGTAAATCTGTCATTTAAAACAAACACCTATTGTGACGGTTGAAGATTTTTGGCTACGTTTTGGTTTTGTCACCCCCGGTGATTGAGGGCAAATGTCAATCGGTATTTTCATAAAGCTCCCCGCCTTTTTCGCGCTGCACATATAACACATTTATTTTCTCTTTCAAGGTTCCGCTGTTTACATTAGCAAGCAGGCGTTCACCTTGGCTGTTTTCCTTTTGCCTCGAGAGGAATTCCCTGTCTCTAGTCATGCATGGAAAGGTGCAAGCCATTCTACACCTGCCTAAAAAGAAAACACCAACTAAATGCTGCCTTTATTAATATCGACCACATTTCAGCCCATTTCCCCCCACAATTTTATCCCGATTGCGCCATCAGGATTGTGTCATGAGACCAAGAATCTTGCTGTTAAAGAACAGGCCCACGGAAGCTGATATCACAGAACTACCGCTGAAGTCGCTTCAAGTAACGTTCATTCCATGCCGATCAAACTGACATTTTTAATGATCAGCGCTAGGAATTCAGACAAATTAAGTTACAGAACCAAATTTAACACGATGTATTTTTGTGTCTTACAGTCATTGGTAACTGGGCCTGACACCGTGAACTTACAGCGCTTCAGGAACCCAATTTAACCCCTTGTGGTTGCCTGGGTTTGAACCCAGTGGTCTTGACGCCCCCAGCTCAGTGCTTTGACCCGTGAGCCCGGCGGCGACCTCCACCAGCTTCAAGTCAGATGTCACCCAGAAGACGAAGCTTTACGAAGGTTGGGGCTTCACGTCGCTTGTATAGTGTTGCCAGATTTTGCGGAGATGGAATGTTGGCTGGATTATCAAAGCACATGATTCCTGCACCGCATTCACGAATGCATTGCAATTGTGCGGTGCTGACCCTGGAAAACCATTCTAGGAATACAGAGCCTCCTACTGAAGCCTCAACATTTTCTAACATATGGAGGAAGTCTGTCTTTCAAAAGCACCGTTGGTAGGCGCACGCGGAGGTGGAGGCAAACAGACCCTGTTTAATATGTTCTGGCAAGCGATGTGTTGGTGGTGATGAATACAAAATCAAGCAGAATGAATCACTCAGAGAAGTAACATCAGTCTTACTGAAGAGTGCCTGTCTGCACAGCACCACTGATAAGGAATGGATCACGTTGCTCGCTGCTAGGGGTGACCGTGATTATGCAAGTACCAGTAAAAGCAGATGATGTTTCTTAATTATTCAAACGACTTCATAAGCAAGTGCTATTACAGACCGGTCGCCCTTACATCTGTGGTAATGAAGTCTTTTGAGCGCCTGGTCCTGGCACACCTCAAAGCCATCACAGACCCTCTCCTGGACCCCCTTCAGTTTGCCTACAGAGCCAACAGGTCTGTGGACGATGCAGTTAACATGGCCCTCCACTTCACCCTACAGCATCTGGACGCCCCAGCATCCTACGCCAGGATCCTGTTTGTGGACTTCAGCTCTGCCTTCAACACCATCATCCCTGCCCTGCTTCAGGACAAGCTCTTCCAGCTGAACGTGCCATACACCACCTGTAAATGGATCACAGACTTCCTGTCTGACAGGAAGCAGTGCGTTAAGCTGGGAACACAAGTCTCTGACTCCAGGTCCATCAGCACCGGAACTCCTCAGGGCTGCGTCCTTTCCCCTCTGCTCTTCTCCCTGTATACCAACAGCTGCACCTCCAATCATCTGTCCGTCAAACTATTGAAGTTTGCGGATGACACCACCCTCATTGGGCTGATCTCTGGTGGGGATGAGTCTGACTATAGGTGGGAAGCTGACAATCTGGTGACCTGGTGTAGCCAGAACAACTTAGAGCTAAATGCTCTAAAGACAGTTGAGATGGTTGTGGACTTCAGGAAGAATACAGCACCACTCACCCCCATCACCCTGTTAGACTCCCCAGTAAAAATTGTAGAGTCCTTCCGCTTCCTGGGCACTATTCTCTCCCGGGACCTCAAGTGGGAATTGAACATCAGCTCCCTCACCAAGAAAGCTCAACAGAGGATGTACTTTCTACGGCAGCTGAAGAAATTCAACCTGCCAAAGACAATGATGGTGCAATTCTATACAGCGATCATTGAATCCATCCTCACCTCCTCCATAACCGTCTGGTACGCTGCTGCCACTGCCAAGGACAAGAGCAGACTGCAGCGTATCATCCACACTGCTGAGAAGGTGATTGCCTGCAATCTACCAACCCTCGAGGACCTGCACACGACAAGGTCCATGAGGCGAGCGAGGAAGATTATGGCCGATTTCTCCCACCCTGGACACTCTCTGTTTCAGCTACTCCCCTCCGGCAGAAGGCTTCGGTCCATCAGGACCAAAACCTCACGCCATAAAAACAGTTTCTTCCCATCTGCTGCTGGCCTGTTAAACAAGGCCAAGGGCTAACACTGTTTTTAACATTTGATCTACATAACGACACCTTGCCGATATTAACTATGTTACCCTATTTGTATTTTTTTATTTTTAAATTATATCTTAAAGCTATTTTATATTCGATATGTATTTAATTTTATATACTTCAGCCCCTTGGTGTTAGACTTTTAACCCTTATTATAGTAAGACTTGTTTAAAACTTATTTAAGATTTTAGATTCCTATATGTTGAATGTATGCACCATCCTGCCAAAGTAAATTCCGTGTCGGTGTGAACTTACATGGCGAATAAAACCCTTTCTGATTCTGATTTTTTCTGATTCTAATAAACAAAAACAGGTTTACTTCAAATGCCAATGCAATGCAACTTCCACCTGGGAACGGTGGTGAAGCCACGTATTGGTGGATCGCGTAGAGATCTGTGAAACCCGCACACCAGCCTGGCTGCAAGGTGGCCAGGAGATAGCAGCACAGCAAGTTTAGTTTAGTATCGCTGCGGTAGCAGCTGGTAGTGAGCAGCGCATGATGTCGATGCTTGAGCAGGATCATTCATGATGAATGGCCCTCAACCGCAGTCTATTAACTATGAACTATTTTAACTATTTAACTATTTTTATTATTATACTATGTAGTGCCCACTGAGCTATAGAGGTCTTTTTCATAATTGACCTGGCCACAAACGATAGCTCAACAAAGTGGCTTATCACGTGAAAGTTTATGGCAGCCAAAAACTCTCAACGCACGTCGATTGTAAATGTGGAGGGGAAAACTGGAGGCCTCGGAAAAAAATCGACACGACCACGAGAGAGACATGCAAACTCAAAATATGCAGCAGGCATCAGGGTCGGGATCAAACACACGACCTCCTGTATACCAGGCGAGATCGTTAACATCTCGCCACAGAGTCGCCCACAGTGCACCCCAGACACTGTTTCGACATCACGCTGGAAAACATCTCCACTTTGGCTGACAAAGTGCATTTTGCGGGAGGCAGCATTCTGCTAAAGGCATTATCAGGTCGTGAGAGTTGCCACATACAGATATTCTGATGCACGGCTCTGCAAAAGCCCAAACGATTGTCAGAACTGAAACGGGTTTCTTACTTACATTGAGTAATTTAACCACTTTTGCTGGAAGTGATGCATTTGAAGTAAGCTTGTTTCATTTGCGCTTGCTTATACAGTCTTTTTACGAGTTGATAATTGAGCAACATCATCTGCTGTTACCGGTACTTGGATAACCAAAGTCGCTTGCAGCGAGCCACACGATCCATCCCTCATCATGCAGAGAGGCTTTCTGTGTGCTGCTGAAGCAACTTTTCTGAGTGACTAATACTAATGTAGAAATATAACCGACATGGCTGATGTTCTTGAGAAAATACCGTTATGGGGTAACCTATCGAGGCCTCCAGACTCCCAATTCTACTGATAGCGAGTGGCGACCAGCGCCATGGATATATTGCAGCTGGGATGTCAGTGCAATGTTCCGCTATTCCCCGCACGTGCCAGTGCAAGTCTTCAACCATGCAGTCACTACACATGACACACCGTGTCACACGCTCATCGTGCGTGGAAAATAATTTCCAAAACCCCTTGGAAAAAATCAACCAAATGAATCTAGCCTCCCTCCTACGCACAGGTACGTGCACAAAGAACATACGAACTCCTCACAGAAATGTGCCCAAGTCGGGAATCGAACCCAGGCCCTTCGTACCATGAGCCACGCGTGTTAACACTATGCCGCTTGACGCGAACAAGCTTTAGGATTCCCCCCCCCCCTCTGAGTGGGGGCCAAAACGATTTGAACGCCACAAGAGCTGGATCGTGGCCCCCCATTGTGTCCGTACCTTTATCCAGCTCCACTGGAAACGATTCCAGATCTGCTGCGACCACCGCCGGCTTGCGAGTCTGCGCAACGACTGGAAGAACCGCATCTCGACGCCCCTCTTCAGCCGCCGGGGGGATCTCCTGCACCTGTGAGCACAGAACATTCAAATTAGATACTCATCTCAATGATCATTTTATGTCCACTCAAAATCATCCAATGGAACATTTGACGCTAAGCGCGAATGAAATGGACACGTGGTATCCTAATAATGGGCAAGTTATTTTTTTTTAAATCCCCCTGCTACTGTTCACCCAGCCATAAGACCAGATACACCGCAGTCAGTTGAGCAGCAGGTGGGGGGTGATGTCCGGGTACTCCCATCTCTTCCAAGGCGTGCGGCCAGTGTGAAAGAGTAGGCCAAATACCCTCTCGAGGGATTCTATAGAGCCCTCTCCAGTGGAGCCCCTTCTGCCACAAGCGGCATGTCGCAGGGCAGCACCTTTACCGTGGAGCTTATGACTTGAAGAGCGATGGTAACGAGCTGGGCATACTTTGATCGGGTTCGACTTAGGCCTTGTTTCCCGAGTGGTAGCTGCCACCAGGTGTTCGATGCACAGCGCTGCCGAATCTCGCTAATTGTGTAATTAAAACGAGAAAATTGGCTGAGAACCTCAACGCAGCCTGGTTTATAAACCACACTCCATGCGGTGGCGGTGGCCGCAGCGAATGTTTACTCTGCTTGGCCAGAAACCGCACTTTGGGTGGCGATTGTGCGTTACAAAAACAGCGGGGGGGGGGAGGCACATGAGACGATCCTCTTGGCACGAGGTTTGTTGTAGCCGCGGTGCCCACCATGGAAATTATAAAGGCAGCTGCGATGGCGTAATTTATTTACTCGACCCAGACCACCTGCCAACTTCCTCACGTAGCTTTCGGGAAACCAAAATAGAACCGGCAGACTCTTGAAATGATGCTACAATTTGAGCACTGGCGCGTTTGCTGCTATTAACAGTCCGCACATGGCTCATTTTGGACCGGTTACAGAGGGATTGTTGCAACAATGGCAGACAAAGTTGAATTAAAAAAAGTGCCCTCCGCTAGAAATTGTGTGAATAATCAACCCTGGCACCATCTGGTAGCCGAGCTGTACTTCCACCGGAGGATTCACAAATACGATGCAGGCATCACAGCGATACACTCCGCTACTCCTGATGCAATGTCTGTCTCAACCACCTCAATGCTGTCCTGCGTCAACATCAGTCATACGAAAGAAGAATAAGGAGACGAAAAAGACTCGAGGATCCATATACTGATCATTCTCCACGAAACGCGAGTGTTGTATCGAGCACGCGGCTGCGATGCCAGGTACGCCGGGTCGGCGGGTCGTTGCACCTAAGCTGACCCTTGGTGCCCGGCAAGGAGCCCAACTCTCCGTCCTGCTCACAAGTTGCGCTGGCGGCCTTCACTCAAGAGCCACAGCGAGCGAGCGAGCGGGGGTTTGAAGCCACCGCTCGGGGCTCAGCGACGCGCATGCCAATCACGGAGCCCAATTTAGCAACGTGCCAGAATCGTCGTCGTCTTTGTAACGTCTTGCAACGTTGCAAAGGCTGATGATTGCGCCACTGTAAGAAGGCAGTGCGAGACGCAGCATCAATCATGCCAACAGGCCCCCCAACACTGCTGCAGGATGTCAGCATCTGTGAGAAGACGCTGCTGCAGGAAGCTCCGCACGAGCAGCAAGTTTAAGGAATAGGTTTTACCCTTTTAACTGGCACAAAAACTGACACCTTCATTCAAGGCATCATGTTTGCAATAACCACAACACAAGCAGTCAAAATGCAAACAAAAAAGATAACTCTGATAATAATATGCACTGTCCTTGAATTTGATTGGTCCACACCCAAGACGGCTTTTCTTAGAGCCTAGTCTCCATTGGTGTTGGACCAAAAGACGCCAAAAGGCGTACAACTCAAAAACAGCGCACTATCAGAGTATTGAGGGCTCGGGGTGAGCATTTACATTATGAGACCTCCTTTGCCAGTAACAAGATATAGGAATAGGTTTTACTCTTTTAACTGGCACAAAAACTGACACCTTTATTCAAGGCATCATGTTTGCAATAACCACAACACAAGCAGTCAAAATGCAAACAAAAGAGACAACTCTGATAATAATATGCACTGTCCTTGAATTTGATTGGTCCACACCCGAGACGGCTTTTCTTAGAGCCTCGTCTCCATTGGTGTTGGACCAAAAGATGCCAAAAGGCGTACAACTCAAAAACAGCGCACTATCAGAGTATTGAGGGCTCGGGGTGAGCATTTACATTAGCAAGTTTAAGTTTGGACAATTAGCAAGTTTAAGTTTGGACAAATGGGTGGCACAGCTATCCGATGTGTTTCCTTCTGGAAATCTGTGAAAAAGAGCTTCATAGCTCATCGGATTCCTCCAGTATAAATACATATTCTGATTCTGAAATGTTCTGATTGTGTCTCACCTTTATTTCCGCGCTTTATTCGTGATGTTATTCATGCTGGGAGCTTCTTCGGGAATTGTTCCTGAAGAAGCTCCCAGCACGTACGGGGCTACGTAGCAGCACGATAATGAAAACCCGAGGATAAGCACGGTTGGCTACGTATGGCGCGAAAGAAGTTCTACATACAACCTACACAGGTAGTGAACAGAATGGCAGCCATGGGGCCAACAGATGAGCAGCTTCACTGGGACCTGATGAGATACAACTCAATCAATTGCCTGCCGTTAATTACCAGCAGATCCATTGAACTGACGGCATGCTCAAGGATCCGTGTTGTATCGGTAGGAGAAGAAAAACACAACTGCATTTTGTGAACCTCGATCGTCTCTACTGCGCACGTCACGATAAAATTGCACGCAGCGCTTGCTGTATGCTGGCTTTGCTGCACTTTTGGAATGGTGCTCCTAATTAATGTGCAGATGAGGCCAGTCATACCCAATACCAACACACATATATATAAACATATACAGATAGTCCCCGAGTTACGATGGTCCGACTTACGATATTTCGATCTTACGATGGCGATACGACAACATTCACTAAAATTGCAGTTCATATAGGTAGGCTAAGAATTTACCTTGTTTTTTACTTTACATTGTACTGTGCAATACAGTATTGTAATAAATAAATATATAGTATATATTTTATACAGTACGGTACTGTAAATTGCTGTTTTGCTAAATTATCACCATTCTTTAAGACTCCTGGGGTAGGCTAGGCCATCTTCGACTTACGACATTTTTGACTTACGATGGGGTCGTTGTAACGCATCTCCATCGTAAGTAGAGGACTACCTGTATATATCGACGAGCTACCGAATTGTACAGTGGGTGGCCTGGAAGCACTCGACCTCCTGCGTCGATCCGGTGAATGTCTAGCCGCACATGCCAAGTTTATTTAGCAGCGGTGGCTTTTCACAAACTCGATCCCTTTCTGCTACGTGGAGCCACAGTACGGCTCAGAGCCCGTGTCAGGGCAGGGCAATCTCGAAGCGCGAACGAGCAAACACAAATCCACCCGAATTAACACGTGCACATAATTATCCTCGATAGTCAATGGGCAAATGAACAGAGAGGTCTTGAGCGATGGGGGAGAGATGAGAAATTATTGGCTCACGAAAACCGGCAATTATTTTTTATTACTATATTTTTTTTTATCAGGTAAGGCGCACTGAGCTATATAGCTCTTTTTCTGAAGCGACCCGGTCACAAATGAGAGCTCAACAAAGTGGCTTATCATGCGGAAATGTATAGCAGCTACATACTCCAAGAGCATGTTTCTAAATGTGGAGGGAAAAACCAGAGGACCCGGAGAAAAATCCACGCCACCACGGAGAGAGACACGCAAACTCATAATAAATATACAGCAGCAGCAGGCGTCAGGGGTCGAGATCGAACCCACGACTTCCTGCATACCAGACGAGGTCAGTTAACATCTCGCCGTCGAGAAGACGAACGGAAGGATCAATTCGCAATTAATTTCAAAGAATATATTAGGAAGGATCGATGCCAATCGAGAGAGTGAGAGAGAGAGATAGAGAGGCCACCCTCCCCGCTGTTTTGAAGACGCGCGAGCCGCGGCAAGCAAGGCTCCAAGGGAAATGCGCGTGTCAACACAGCCACTCGTTTCGTTAATAAACATCACACGCACCTGTGTGTGGGTGGGGAAAGAGTGGTGTTGTGTGTGTGTGTGTGCGTAAATGCCCTCGAGATATAAATTAAAAAGTTCAAACTGTATAAATTGTTGTTGTTAATCTCCACCGCCATCAAACACGGAAAAGCCTCCTCCCTGCCCCCCCCAGTCACCGTCTCACGTGGCAATGCCATGATGCTTAAACCCACCGTGCCTCCGGACGATCAGCACGGCCACGTACGGTAGCGAAATAAGTTCTACAGAGTGTATGCAAGCCGATCTGGGCGCTCCATCTCCACGGTGGTTGTCTTCTCAAAAATCAACCGCGGCCCACCCCCCAATGCTCCTTTGGCTGCCATTCTCTTGTCAGTCTTGCCCACCGGCCACAATCCCAGTGATGATGTGTCCTGCCCAAGCCAGTTGATGCCCTGCAGGAGTCAATAGGATGTATCTTGACACCCGCCCGTATGTTCCATCATCCACACGTCCCCTCCCCCCCCCCCCCCCCCCCCATTCTAGCAAAGCAAGTAATGTTTGCTGTTGTGAAAGATTTGTTTTTACTGTTGAAACCGTGATAGGACTTAACTATTCATAATAAAGGACTTAACTAGTATGTGCTGGTTACACACCACATCGCTCCAATATTACACAACAAACTTACATCCCCGTCAGTTTATTTTAATTTTTATTTGAATGGACAACTAGGTTTGATGCAGAGCCATTATACACGTAAGTGAAGGATTTTTTTGAACTCCTGTGCTGCATACCATTCACAAAAAGACGATATGTGCAGTGGACACCTCCGGGCTATCTGCCCATGGATTGTGAAGATGATGATCCACCATTTGACAAAAGTTAAAGCGAGCACTGGAGATGAATAACAATCCTAATTCATGTAAACATCTTCACCCCGGCCCAATAGTTAATTGCCTTCTGGTTTAGCTTTGATTCGAGGCGACTGATACTTGTTCTGAAAGT